GAACGCGGCTTGGGGTCTGGGCCGCCGCTTGCCATCGCCTCCGCTGCCGTCGCCGGGCAGGTAAGGGGGCGCTGGTGGGGGCGCGCAGGTCGGGGAGCCGGGTGAGGCCTGGGCTGCGCAGCTGGGGAGGCGCACAGGGAGGGGGGCGTGGGGAGAGGTCCTGGCCGCGCGTCCCGTCATGACCCTGAGGCGGGTGCGAGGTCGCCGCCATGGTTCGTGGTGCCTTCCCCCAGTTAGTAGCCCCTGAACCCCGTTTCTTTGCTGCCCCTTGTACCCGGGTTTGGGTAAGCGGGTGCAGCCCCGGGAGGTGGGAGGGCGCCGGACGGCCCTGGAGCACTTCCCACCAGCCCTCAGGTCATGGCCTGCCTGCGGGAGGCGGGTGCGGGGCCGCCAGGGTGCGGGGCCAGCGGTATTCGCGGCAGCAGCAGGGAGAGGGGTCTGCTCCTGGGAGCTGTCGAGTTGCTCCCATCTACCCCACGGCCTGTCCTGGGGGCTGTCTCTAAAGCCCCAGGTTTGCAGGACCCAGGTTACAGGTCAGTCTGCTTTTGGGAGGAGGGCGCGGTGCGGTGAGTGGAGGGACAGCGGTAGCGACAGCGGGAAGCAAATCCCCGCGCTCACACAGGGCAGCCCCAGTCCCGCCATCGCCGCCTCCATCCCCTGCCAGCACAGCTCCCGCCTCCCAGGAGCAGGCTGATCTGTAAACTGAGTCCCACGGACCCGGGGGTAGCAGAGGCCGAGGCCAGGACAGACTGCAGGGGAGTTTGAAGCAAATCCATAGACTCGCATGGGCAGATCCCTAAACCCGCGGTTGCTTCTGCTGCCTGCGACCACACCGGGCCCGCCTCCCGGGAGCGGGCTGACCTGGGGACGTGCCTGGGACAGTAGAGGCTGCCTCCAGGCCATGCCGCGGGGAAGATGGGGACAAATCAACCGGTTCGCCAAGGGCAGCGCCCCTCTCCCCGCCAGTGCCCCAAGTTCATGGGACACTTCCAGGTCAGTTGGCTCTGGAAGGCAGGTGCGGTGCGGTTAGAGGGCGGCAGGGGGCAGGTGGACTTGCTCCCATCTGCCCGGGGCCTGTCGTGGGGGCGGCCTCTGCTGCCCCAGGTTCACAGGAAGCATGTGTTCATGTCAGCCTGCTACTGGGAGGAGGGTGCAGTGTGGTCAGAGGGCAGCGTTAGCAGCAGGAAAGGACTTTAGGAGGACCCGGCTCTAGCCCAGGGTAACTCACTCTCCTTTTTTCTTCTCTTGCTTCCTCAGTTGGTGGCTGTAGCAACTTTTCCAGTATAGGTTAGTAACAGATTTTGAACATAGATTTCTGTGCTATACAGAAGAAACTTAAAAAAAATTATTGTCTATTTAGTGGCTAACATTTGTAAGTCTTAAACTCCCACATTTATCCCTTCCCACTCTCTTTCCCTGGTAACCATAAGATTGTTAACCAAGTCTGCGAACCTGTTTGTTTTGTAGATGAGTTCATAGTGTCATCTTTTTTTTGATTGCACATATGAGTCATATCATTTGGTATTTTTCTCTTTCTGGCTCACTTCACTAAGAATGACGATCTCTAGGTCCATCCTTATTGCTGCAAATAGCATTCTTTTAACCTTTTAAATGGCAGAGTAGTATTCCATTGTATAAATATACTACATCAGCTTCATCCAGCCACCTGTTTCTTCATTTAGGTTGCTTCCACGTTGGTTGCTTTTGGCTATTATATATAGTGGTGCTATGAATAGTGGGGTGCAGGTACCTTTTTGTATTGGGGTTTCCTCTGAATATATACCCAGAAGTGGGATTGCTGGATCATAAGGTAAGTCTGTTGTTAGTTTTTTGAGGAAATTCCATACTGTTTTCCATAATGGCTTCACCAAAGTACATTCCCACCAGCAGTGTAAGAGAGTTCCCTTTTCTCCACACCCTCTCCAGCATTGATCATTCGTGAACTTTGAAGTGACGGCCATTCTGACTGGTGTTTTGTAGTTTTGATTTCCATTTCTCTGATAATTAGTGTCAGTGAGCATTTTCACATGTGCCTATTGGCCATTTGTAGTCTTCACTGTAGAATTGCCTCTTTAGGTCTTCTGCGCATTTTTGGATTGGGTTGTTTTGTTTTCTTAAGTCATATGAGCTGCTTATATATTCTGGAGATCAAGCTTTGGTCGGTTTCATCTTTTGCAAAAATGTCCTCCCATCCCGTAGGTTGTCATTTTGTTTTGCTTATGGTTTCCTTTGCTGTGCAGAAGCTTTTAAGTTTCATTAGGTCCCATTTGTTTATTCTTGCTATTATTTCTATTGCTTGGGTAGACTGGCCTAGGAGATTTTTGAGATGTATGTGAGATAATGCTTTGCCTAGATTTCCTTCTAGGAGGTTTATTGTATCTTGTCTTATGTTTAAGTCTTTGATCCATTTTGAGTTTATTTCGTGTATGGTGTAAGGGAGTGTTCTAGCTTCACTGGTTAATTTTTGTTTAAATGTTTGGTAGAATTCTCTGCTGAAATCATCTCAGCCTGGAGATTACTTTTTCATGAATTTAAAAATTATGAATTAAATTTCATTAGCAATAATAGGGCTATTCTAATGATCTGTCCTGTTGGGTGAGTTGCGGTAGTTTGTGTGTTTCAAGGGGTAGGTCACTGATCTGAGCTGTCAGATTTCCATGTGTGCTGTTGTTCGTGGTGTCTATCATCCTCTTCATGTCTGCAGGATTGGTGGTAAAATCACATTTCTTTCCTGAACTTGTTAGTGTCTTTCTCTCCTTTTCTTTGTCACGCTTGCTAGAGATTTATTGATTTTATGAATATTGTCAAAGAACCAGGTTCATTGCTGTGTGCTGGACACCGTCCACTGCTCACATGTGGGGCCCAGAAACCCTCCACACGGTGCCAGCACTCAGGTGCTGTGACCCCACTTACAGACATGAGGGCCCCAGTACTGACGCTGAGGTAACTCACCTGGGGTCTCACCGCCAGCAGGTGGTAGAGCCACAGTTGCATCTCAGATCCCCACAGCAGGCCCCCCAGACTCTGCAGTGGGCGAGGATCCAGAAGGAGGGACCATAAGAGTTCTTTTCTTTGATAAGTGGAGAGTTTGACAGCATTCCTTCTTTTCTTCCCATGATCAGCAGCGGAAGGTGTTGAGAACAACTTCAGAAAAGCTCAGAAACTGCTCATTTTTCTCTACAAATGTTGTCTACCTCACCCCTGGGACATGCGTCAGCAGGTACAACGGCACCTTCTGGAAGCCCGCCAGATGGAGCTCGAGATGGCCGACCTGCATGTCTCCACCCTGAAGTACAAGCAGGCTGAGTGAGAGAGGTGGGTGCCGGGGTTGGGAGGGGTCAGAGGTGGTGGGAGTCTGAGGCCCTGGGACATCCTGTGAGCGTGGGTGCCGCCATTCTCAGCACTGCAGTGGTTCTGGGCATCCCCACGCCCTGGGGAAGAGCCTGGTGTGTCTGGGAAGCCAGGGCCCCTGACGGGGTTTGTGTCTTGTACCACCAGCTTCAGGGCGAGCATTTCACCAGCGCCTTCGCTCTGGCCCTGATTCTGGCTGCCTTGTTTGGCCTTGCCCATCTGCTAATAACCTCGCAGTAAGTGTTATTCTGGGTCCGTCCGTCAGAGGTCGCCAAGCGTCCTTCGCTTTTCAGGTTCAG